GCGTGACCCGACCGATGCCGGGGAGGAAGCAGGCGAGCTCGGACCAGCAGTAAGCACCCCAGTGACATACCCAGTGGTGTCGAGGGAGTGAATGGATTTACTGGCAGAAGGTAAAAAGTGCCTAAAGCAAAACAAAGCAGGAACAAGCTAAACCTCCTGGCACACAGCACACAGCGAGAAGCTGCACAATCACACACAAAACACAAGCCCGAAAAGAACCAGCACTGCTGGCACCCAGACGGAGGCACCCGACGTCACAGTGAGGGACGGAGACGCTTCGCCAGCTCCGCGCCGGTCGTCGGCGCCACTCGAAGTGTTACCCCCATGGGAGTCGGAGACCTCCGGCGAAGACTCCTCCTCGGGCGACTCGACAAAGTCCGAGGAGGAGCTGTCCTCTGGCTCGAGAAGTGCTTGCGCCCGCAAGGGCGTCATGCGCCTCGCACCAGACAAGAGCGCCTCCAGCGTCAGCTGCATAGTGAGGCGCTGATAGGTGGCGGCGCGTTTGCGAGCCAAGACCTCAGCAGCAGGGCCGTCATCAGGCACGAAGTGCCGACCAAACGCCGCATCCTCAAGAGGCATCGAGCGCTGAGCAATGATGTCCGCCAGATACCAGATGTCGAAAGGCGAAGCCGCGCAGACAAGCAGGGAGGGTCAAGCAACAGTCTGTAGGAGGGGTAACAAGCAGCAGGAGCATGGGGACTTCCGAAATGAAACCCCCTTAGACGCGATACCCGGAGGCATCCGACTGACCGCTGTCAGTCGAGACGTCCGCCGCCGCCGCAAAGCGGGCGGCCGCGGACGGAGAAAGAGCAGCCGCCAACAAGGAGCCGGCGTTGCCCGGGGGTCCGCCGGGGGATGCGGACGGAGGGAGGCTGGACACATGAACACGGTACCGCTCGAGGTGACGCATCCAGTCCTCCTCATTAGCCTCCGAGTCAGCGGTAGCCGAGACCAACACCACCCGTGACGGCGGCGACGCCGCATCGATGATGCCCAGGGACCGGGGCTGTGCGGCATCGGAGGCAGGCGAGGAAGCTTGGAGGATCGAGAAGCATCAAGCTTGCGCTGGCAGCCATCATGCGTCGGACACTGGCAGATCGGCATGCCATGAAGATAGCAGTCGACCATCTGAGCATACCGATACGGGAAAGCCTTGAGGGGATAGTAGCTCGAGACTCGCATCGGAGAGTGGCTGTGTGTTTGTGTGTGTGTGTGTTCAATTATGGGAGGAGGTTCACCAACACGACAACCTAAGGTGAGCATCTGCTGGGGTCGCGAGGAAACATGGACGCCTTCCTGACGTTGTCGAGTCCGAGGTAGAGGAAGACGACGCGCTGGAGTGAAAGTGAGAGGGGATGAGGAGAGGATGTCTTACCTCCAGCCCGATGCCAGCTCCTGCATGCGGCGACACGCCATGCTGGAAGGAGGTCACGTAGGCCTGTAGGGGCTCCAACGGCATCCCCTTCTTCTCAACCTGCCCCCTCCTCGTCAATCTCCTCCTCTTCCTCCTCCTCCTGCACTGGACTTTCCTGTGAGATCAGCAGGGCTGGGTCGTGTACTCTTTGCGCGCCAGAGCAGATCTCTTGTCCTCGGAGGAAGACATCGTAAGAGTTGGTGAACCTCTCGTCGTCTGCCAGACAACCTTGAGCTGCTTCCTCTCCCTCCCCTCTCTTCGCACTCACCAGGGCAAGGCATGGTGTAGAAGGGACGAACAGCTGCCGGAAAGCGATCGAGAATGAAAAAGTCAGTGTCGAACTTGTTCTTGACGAGCTCTCCCAGCCTAGAAGAAATCAAAGAATGAAGGAGGAGGAGGTGGCTTACTTGAGCTCGAGCGAGCTTGACAGGTCCTCCAGAAGCTCTGCCTCCTCACCAGCGTCTCGCAGCATCTGCTGGCTCCTTCAGGCAAGGCAGGCAGGAAGGAAGGCGGGAGGGAGGGAGGGAGGGAGGGAGGGGGGCGGGGCGGGGGGGGTCGCACCTGGATCGCCTCCTCCCAGTGGAGGATGCAGGGCTCCTCAGTGAATTGAACGGGGAGGGACTTGTACTGGGAGCGGACGACGGAGAGTTCAGAGGAGAAGCGGCTCTCGAGGCCGAGGAAGATGTGCTTGAAGAGGGAGTGGAGGAGGAGGAGGGTCTCGTTGTAGTGCTCCTCTATCGCCATCTCCAGGTCCAGCCCCGTGAACTCGCACAGATGACGGCGGGTGTTGGACTTCTCGGCGCGGAAGACAGGTCCGATCTCAAACACTCGACCGAGGTCTCCCGAGATCGCCATCTGCTTGTACAGCTGCGGCGACTGAGCGAGGCAGGCCGAGCGACCGAAGTAGTCGGTGCGGAAGACTTCGGCGCCTCCCTCGCTCTCCCCGGAGATGAGCTTCGGCGTGTGGATCTCGATGAAGTTCTCCGCATAGAGCGCTTCTCGGAACAGCTGGCAGATCGCCGACTGGACCCTCATGATCGCGTGGTTGGCGGGCACGCGCAGGTCAAGCCAGCGGTTGTCTAGTCGAGCTTCCTGGTAGACGGGAGAGAAAGGCTTCTCGCTCCCTTGCGACGCTGCGATCTCCTCCTCCGATCTCGCCGCGTCCTCCATCAGGAACGGGAGGATGGCCGGCGCCTTGGACAGCACGTAGCATCGCTCGATCTGAACCTCGACGGAGCCTTGCGAGCAAGACTTCACCTCGGCAGCCGCCACCAGCCCCTTGACGTCCACAATCGACTCAAGCGTCAGGTCGTTGAGGAATCGCAGGAAGCGCTTGCTGCCTTCCGCGTCCTCCTTGCTCTTGAAGTAGCATGCTTGGACTGTACGTGACGGCGAGTCGATGGCTCTGAGCACAAGGAAACAAGAGGAGCCCTTCCCGCGTATCGCCGACACTCTCCCTCTCAGCCAGACCGTCTCTCCCGCTCTCACTCCTCCCTCCTCTCCGAGCGTCGCGATCTTTGCGAAGGTTCTGCCAGTCTCTCCTCTCGACCGCATGACCTCATACTGCCCGAACATCCTCTCGGGCTCCTGCTGCACCGACGTGTAGACGATCGGCGTCTTGAGCGCCTCCATCGCCTCCTCCTCAGCGGCTGCGAGCGCTGCTTCCTCTGCCTGCTTCTTCGCCTTCTTCAGCTGCTTCTCAGCTTCCTTTGCAGCCTACAGTCACGTGCCGTAAGAAACAGTCCAGTGATAAGCGGCGGGAAGGGAAGGAGGAACGAGAGGAGGAGGAGGGAGAGGAGGAGCAGGAGCAAGTGGCTTTACCTTGCGAGCTTCTCGTTCCTCTTTGATTTTCTGCTTCTCTTCCTCTGACTTGTCGCTGGCGACTGGATCAGATGACATCATCCGAACGACTGGATTGAGTCGCCGCTGGTGCCTGGAGGACAGCAGGAGGGTCGAGCTTCTCCCCGTGATCAGCGACAGATGTCGCGGCATCCTCGTCACCGCCGGGAGAAACGCCAACGTTGGACGAGCCGTCTGCATCTTCAAAGTCGTAAGAGAGGGGAGGGGAGGGGGGCAGATGATTTAGCAGGAGCATGAGTATCAGGAGGATAGTGGAACTCAAAGTAGCTTGAGGCGAGGGAGATTGGCGAGAGGCAAAGATAATGAGGAGGAGGATCATGAGGAGCACAAGATGATGATGATGATGATGATGATGATGATGATGATGATGATGATGATGATGATGATGAAGATGATGATGATGATGATGATGAAGGATGGAGGAGGAGGAGGA